CGCCTGCCCGCCTGCCCGCCTGCCCGCCTCGCCCGCCTCGCCCGCCTGCCCGCCTGCCCGCCTGCCCGCCTGCCCGCCTGCCCGCCTGCCAGCGGTCCCTAGCCTGGTGTTGCAGCTTCGGCTGGGCCGCTGGTTGGACGCCGGCGACGCCATTCGCATGCTAGCGTGCCCGGCACAATGGGTCGCTGCGGCCGGCGCTCGCACCGCGGTGATCACCGAACGAGGTGGCTGCTCCAAATTTAGCGCTGGTCAGGGTGGTGCCGTAGGTGGCGGCGGCGACGTGCGTGTGCTTCGGTGCGAGATGGAACCGTGCAAGGGCGGGCCAAGCCAAACATCAGCGCCCGCCTGTGCGTGCCTGTCAACAGAAGAAAGGATCCGGTGGAAGCAGGCGCTGTCGGCGGCGGCGGGCGACGGCGATGAGGCGACGACGACGGCGCACCAAAGGCAAAAGGGATGCAACGCGGCGCAGCGGGACCTCGTGCGTCGGGGTGTCCGGCGGGCGGATCAGATCGTCGGGGCGAGCCACCAGCAGAAGCCAAGATGGAAAGCAAGCGGCACGGTGGTGGTGGACGGAGGCGTGGGCCGACGAAGGGTCGAATTAGCGTGACGCCAAAGTTTGCCGCTGCCACAGGCCAGGCCAGGCCACCGCCCTTCGCTTGCCGACTGCGAAGGCAGGCAGGGATGCTGGGGCCAGAGGGCGGAGGGCGAACAAGGGCGCTGCTGCCTGCCATGCTATATGCTTGGACCTGCCAAGCCCCCAGGGCCAAGCATGGCCAGGCCTCGATGCGGGCGGGCCGCCGTCTCCAATGTACGACGAGCAGCAGGCAGGAAGGCCTCTCTTTGGTGCCTACGTGCGTGCATGCTGCTGGCGGCGCTGATGGCAGGCCGCCATCCTCATGCAGCCAGCAGGCTACACGGTCGGATGCTCTGTCTGGGATGGAAGGCTGGGTTGATGGACGTGGGCCCGGTCGAGCTCTGCCCTGGCCTAGGCTGTCGGCTCGTGTGTGTCTGGCTGGACGGCTGAGCCTGGCGGGCAAAGAGCCTGGGCTGGGCGTGGCTGACGGCGAGCCAAGCAAGCGTCGAAGCGGGCGAGCGAGGGCCTCCTGCTCGGCTGACGTTCGCCCCCTGTTTTTGCCGTCGGCCTGGGCCGGCGCAGGCAGGCCCGCCCGCGCCCCCCTCTCGACCCCTCTTCATCCCCGCCTGCTTTCGTGCTCCCCGCGGCCCCTCCTTGCCCTCCTTCTCTCCTCGTCGTCAACTCTGCGTCCCTCTCCATCACCCCGGACGCTCCTTGGCCGCCACCATCACCACCGCCGCCGCCGTCGACGACATCTTTTCTCTTTCCGTTCCTTGTTTCTCTGTCGCCGCCACACGCCTTTGCCCGAGGTCGGCACTTCTCTCGCGGACCAGCCACCAACACCGTCGCGGCATCGACCGGAACACCATCACCCTCCCATCTCTCTATCTCCTTCCTAGACCGCTATCTCGTCAGCTCAGCATACCCGGCGCACCTGGCTCTCTATTCAAAGTCTCTCCCTCTCCCTCTCTTCGCCACTGGACAGTCCACGGATCCCGCACCGCCAACGGACCTCGACCGATTCGAGGCTTCCTCGCCCGAATCCAAGGCACCCCTCTTTCCCCCCCCTGGATCATCAGATCGGACCGCTAGACGCTCCTCGCCCCAACCCCTTGGCCCGCCATGCCGCGTCCCACTTCGGGCAACAGCGACTACTACAGTCCCGATGCCGACTTTGCATCGCCCACCTTTTCGCCACCCGCAGAGTACACCGAGTTCAACTCGCTTCGGCCAGGAACGCCCGGCACCATCGGCAAGAACTCGGTCGCCGACAGCCTCGGAACGGAAAAGTACGACTACCCGCCGCGGAGTGACGCACCGACCCCTTCGCCCTCGACCCAGGGCCTGCTGTACGCCGACGGCGGCGGAGGCGCGGGCAACCGCAACAGCGCACGCAGCAGCACCTACTACTTTGACAAGGAGGCCGCGGCCACCAAGCCACAGGTGAGTGTCGGCCGGCAGGGCCCGAAAGCGCTGCGCACCCGCGCGCGCGTGTGTCGGCGGTCGACCCCGGTGTCCCCCTCGCTAAGAGAGGCAGAGTTGCTGACCTTTGGATGGCTCCCTCTCCGCCTCTCGACCAACCGTCTGCGCAGCCGTCGTACCAGAATGCCGGCAGGAGAGGGCCCGGCTACAGCGCCGCCGTCCCCGCGAGCGCGGCAGCCGCTGCCGCTGCGGGCAAGGGCGGGCGAGGGGTCCACGGCGGTCCCGGTGGCGGCGTGATGGGCTTCGTGCGGAGGAGACCGGTCCTCACCGCGTTGCTGGCGCTGCTGGTGCTGGCCGTCATCGGAGTGGCCGCGGGCGTCGGCATCAGCAAGGGGATGAGCTCGGATCGCAACGACAAGAACCTCAACTCCAACGCCAACCCGTCGAGCGGCGACGGAGGCAGCAAGGGCTCGGGATCCGGCTCGGGATCCGGCTCCGGGTCGGGCGGCAGCAAGGCGCCGGCGCCCATCGTGCCCTTCAAGAAGTGGAACTGGACCGACCCCAACACCAAGGTCCACGGCGTGAGCCTGGGGTCGTGGCTGCTGCTGGAGCGGTGGCAGCTCGAGGACTGGATGGTGTCGGTGGGCGGCAGCGAGGCGTGGGACGAGTACCGCTTCCTGCAGAGCATCGGCAAGGACAAGGCGGCCACGGTGCTCAAGGAGCACCAGGAGACGTGGGTCACCGAGGCCGACATGGACACGCTGCAAAAGGCCGGCATCAACACGATCCGCATCCCCATCGGCTTCTGGGCCTTTATCCCCACCGAGGGCGACGAGCCCTACCTGACGACGGGCTACGTCGAGCAGCTCGACAAGATGATGGAGTGGTGCTACAAGCGCAGCATGTACGTCATGCTCGACCTGCACGGCATGCCGGGCAGCCAGAACGGCGACCAGTCGAGCGGCCACAACATGACGCTCAGCCCGCTCTACTGGTTCGAGAGCGACCAGCAGGCGCGTTCCGACGCCTTCCTCCAGGCCGTCATCGACTGGGCCACCAAGAGCCCGTACAGCTCCATCGTCAACGGCATCGGCGTCGTCAACGAGCCGCGCGTCGTCGGCGACAACTGGCAGCTCAACCAGACGCGCTTCGACATCACCCTCGGCTACTACCAGCGCAGCTACGCCGCCTGCCGCAAGGCCAACATCCCCATGACGTTCCACCACGGCTTCTACCCGGGCCAGCCCATCGACAAGTTCAACGCCTGGAAGGACTTTGCCACGGGCAAGGACCCCAACTACCTCATCCTCGAGGACCATCCGTATCCGGGCTGGTTCCAGGACCCGTACCCGGGCGCCGACGCCATCCAGAAGTCGGTGTGCGCCCAGGGCGAGGCGGCCGTCGGCTACCCGGTGCCCGTCCTGATTGGCGAGTTTTCCGCCGTGTCGGACCTCAACAGCACCGAGTTTGACCGCACCTATATGCAGATGCAGATGTCGACCTACGGCTGGTCGGCCGGCTCCATCTTCTGGAACTTCAAGGTGCAGATGTCCAAGCTCCAGGTGCTGGCCGAGCGCGACCAGATCATGCGCCTCTACTCGTTCTTTGACCTGCTCGGCTCCGGCACCATCCCGTCGGTGCCCCAGGGCCAGAGCGTCAAGCAGTGGATCCAGGGCATGGGCACCACCTGCGGCGACTTCCAGACCCTCTCGTACACCAACCCGTCGACGTCGGGCGCCAGCTTCGGCTCGAGGCGCAGGAGGCGGTCCGCGCCGTCCCTC